GCGCGCCCCCCCGGACTACAGGTACCCCCCCCCCGGACTACAGGTACCCCCCCCCCGGACTACAAGTACTACAGGTCCCCCCCCTGGACTACAAGTACCCCCCCCCGGACTATAGGTACCCCCCCCCGGTCTACAGGTACCCCCAAAACTATTGAGGGACACAGAGTAATTTACGAAACAGGGGCGCGTCGGCAGCCAAATGCCTAAAGTTGTTTGATGCAACGGGATCAGGAACCGCAGCGTGGTATTTCACTAGACCAGTGTAAGGTGGCAGTTGCCCAAAAAGGAAGCGAATTCTAATGTCCAACTACTGATGTTGTGACGCCTGCCATGTCCTGGGAGGCGCCATGAAGAGGGTCACTGGACTGTGGGCCAGAGGCGTCTTGGATGCCCGCCCGCGTCTCCGCCTCTCGCGGGGGGGCTTCTTGGCATGCCCCCTGCGGCGTCTTTTGAGGCTTCGTGGGCCTACTTGAGGCCGTCGCGCAGCGTCCTGGCGCGCTCCTGGGCCGTCCCGGGGCCTCCATGGACAGCTTCGGTGGCCTCTTGTGCCTTGCTCGTGGATCAGTTGCCTCTCGAGTGCATGTGAGGGTCACTAGGGATGCGAGTCCAGTGCTCATGGTCTGAGGCCAGCTAGCAGGGCGGCGCCCTGCCAGTGAGGAACCGAGCGGGCTGCGAGGGCCCTCAACGGGCACGCGATCTGAGGCCCACTGGCAGGGCGGTGCCTCTCTAGCAGGAGCCCAGCAAGCTGCGGGGTCATGGCTTGAGGCCATTTCGCAGGGCGGCGCCCTGCGGATGGGAGCCCAGCCATCTCTGGAACTTCGCGGTGTGGGCCCCTTGAGGAGTTTTTCTATTCTCCATACAGAGGCTTTGGTGTGACCTGAGGACAACTCCACCTCGTGCCGAGCGGCACGGTGGCGGATTTGAGATATATATATATATATATATATATATATATATATAATATATATATATAATATATCTAAGCTGGTATACGCGAAACACGAAGCAGAAGGCGGAGGGGTCCCGATAAGCCCAGGGGGGGCAACGGGGGTCTTTTATTGCCAGGGCCCTGCGGCCGGTGCCGCCGACCCTGGACGACGACCCCCGCGATGGAAGGGGCATTCGGGAAGGTCGGGGTCAGACGCTCTCAAGTGGTGCCCGAACCCTCACGAATTTTTGGGGGTGTCTTGGGAGCCTCTGGGAGCCTCCTGGGGCTTCCCGGCGGTTCCTTGGGGTCGCCTGGGGGCCTCGTGGGGGCCTCTGGGGAGCCTCTTGAGGCCCCGGACCCCCCCCGGGGGGTGGTGGTATTCTGACCTGGGACCCCCCCCAAGGATCCCCCCAGCCCTGCCCTTCTGGGGGCCCCCCATCCCCGGCGGAGAAGGGATCCCAGGGAAGGGGCTCTCCTTCGACTCAACTGCGACGCTGCTCAATCTCGCTCTGCCTGCTTTGCTTTGGCTGGCGCGCGCAGGGAGGAGGGAGGGGATGTTTCTTGAAGTCTCCTTGGAGCGCTCTGTGGGGGCCTCTGGGGGAAAGCTTTGGGGGTGTCAAGGAGGGGAAAAACACACAGACACAATGAATCGTCGATTCCCAGAGAACATGGGGAAATATGGGAAGTGGGGGGGAAGACAAAACCGAGAAAATATAGGAAAATGTGGGGAATCCTGGGATTGGTGTGTATTTCTTTGTGTGTCCCTGGGCCCCTTCAGTCTTGGGAGCCTTTTGGAAGCCTCCTGGGGCTTCTTGCCGGTCCGCCTCTGGGAGGCTTCCTTGGGTCCCGGGACCCCGTTGCTCAAATTCGCGTAGGTTGTTCCGCTTTGGCTGGCGCACTTAATCGGGGGCGGCCAAGAGGGGGGTGATGACTAGGAGGGGGTAGATATCATGGCGTTGGCCATGATATTTCCTCAGATTTCATGGCGCCTCCTCTTATTTCATTACGTCTCTGGCCCCCCCCCTGGGCCGTGCACATGCCGCCGTCCATAATTTGCGCCCCCTCCTCTTGGACGCTCCCCTCTTAGCCGCCCCCGACTTAAGGAGGAGGGCACAGGAAAAGGGGTGAGCGGCGACGACGACGCAGGCGGCGACGACGACGACGATGCCGGCGAGTGAAACGAAGCAGCCTCTCGCACTCGCCGGCAGGGTCGCGACAGGGTTGGCGGATTTGGAAAGGAAGAAAATTCGAGGGGGAACTCTCCACGGCCGCATCCGCGCGTGAACATCTCCAATACTCGTGCAGGCATGCAACCCACCCTCCCGCAGCTTGGCTGCAGATCTCAGACGGGCGGCGACGACAACGATGACGATGACGATGACGATGACGATGACGATGACGATGACGATGACGATGACGATGATGATGATGATGATGATGATGATGATGATGATGATGATGATGATGATGATGATGATGATGATGATGATGATGATGATGATCACGGCCACTATGTTGACGCCAGCGATAGTGATAGTCATGCAGTCGAGTATGATGATCACGACGGTCGCAATGATGACGCTGGCAATTATTATTATTATGATGATGATGATGCTGCTGATGATGATGATGCTGATGATGATGCTGCTGATGATGATGATGATGATGATGACGATGACGATGACGATGACGATGACGATGACGATGACGATGACGATGATGATGACGATGATGAGGATGAGGATGATGGAATGAGGATGAGGATGATGAGGAGAAGGATGAGGATGAGGATGATGAGGATGAGGATGAGGATGATGATGATGATGATGATGAGGATGAGGATGAGGATGATGAGGTGAGGATGAGGATGATGATGATGATGATGCTGATGCTGATGCTGGATGATGATTGACGATGATGATGACGATGATGATGACGATGATGATGATGATGATGATGATGATGATGATGATGATGATGATGATGATGATGATGATGATGATGATGATGATGATGTGATGATGATGATGATGATGATGATGATGATGATGATGATGATGATGATGATGATGATGATGATGATGATGATGATGATGATGATGATGCTGATGATGACGACGACGACGACGACGATGGTAGTGGTCAGGATTATGAGGATGTGTGCGCGCAGACATTTGACGTGGGCCACGGCCTCCACGCTGACGCGTGATCACGGTCCTGGTGATCACGACGGCGATGACGACGACGCTGGTGATGATGATGGTGAGGATGACGATGGCAATGATGACGCCGGCGATGAGGATGACGACGGCACTAATGAGGGTCACGGGCATGCTGGGGGAGCGCGCTCTCTTCGAGATTCAGAGTCTTGGGAACCTGTTGGAACACGTGTACCGAGCTGCTTCCTCGCAACACCAAATGGGCTCGGCAGGATGTCGACGCGTGCGCGCGGAGACGCCCTCGCCTGGCC